GCACACCAGCCGTGGTAACAATTTAATTTAATTTATTTTAATATTTTAAATTTACTTTAAATTATTTTAATTTATTTTATGAGCAAGGTGGAAAAATAATAATAAATTACTATGTAGTGAACAGGTACAGCACATACCAGACAAATGGTTTAATTTGGTTCTTCTTTACCTTCCTTGGACTTGTCACAAGGCAGGCTTTCAGTTTTTTTCTGTCCCATAATCTAACATTTAACAGTGATTAACCAAGAAATAAATACAGGGTCAAGACTGTGTAGAGGGATTTTGTGGGCCCTCTTAATGGTTGCTTTCTTACCTCACAACCACCTCTTTTTCTGGTTTTGGCCAATGAAAGACACTGACTGGGACAATCCATTGACGGGCGTCCCATTCTAAGTCTATAAATTGACATTTAATCTTGATAACCCAAGCAATAAATAGGGTTTCAAGACTATTTTAAGGGATGTTGAGAACCCTCATGCTGGTTACTTGCCCATTGCAACCAATAGTCTCCCTGGAAGGTCTTCCTGTGGGTTCTGGGAACAGGGAGGACCTCAGTTAGAAGATTGTTGGCTCCCGAGAAGAAGTCAGAGTGCCTCTTTATATGTAGTTCCCCAGTTATTGGGTTTTTGGGTTCCCAGTGCTTTAGAACCAAGAGGAGAAGGTAGATGTACCTATTGACAGATTTCACTGATGCCTCAAACCCCAGCTAGCAGGGCTGGAATGCTGTCCGTAGCATTTTTGGCGTTGCCTTTACTCTTTCACAGCAAGGGGTCTTTGTTGTCATTGGCCAAATCTCAATGAAAGACGTCATTTTTTTCAGGCATTTTTCATGTATTTTTTGCATGTGTCAATCGTTGGTAAAGCAGATGTACTGGCTAGTAAGGCACGTGGGTAAATCTTTGTGGAGAGGTCCAGCCATTCTGTACACTGATCATTTCAGGGTGAGGTAAACCATCTGGTGTCTAGGGACTTGTCTTCTAGCCGTTGAGGCAAATGTGTTTTGATGTTCAGAGCATTAGCTTTGGAGCTTTCATGTTACAAATTAACAGTTAAAATATCAAGTTCAATTTTCAACATAGCTAGAGCACTGGGCAAGCAACCCCTGTTCCTTACATAAGGAATTATTTATGCATCTACGAGAAAAGCAAGTGTTCAAATGAATTTCAGGGTTTTTCCATCAATATGAAATTTAGATTTTCTGATGATCTTGAAGCTCAGCAATATTCTCTCTATCTTCGTCTTGCAATTTACAACACAGGAAAGAAGGCCTCTTCTTTTTTATCATTGTATTTGCAGTTGTCATAAACTTGCGCCAATTGTGGTCTTTCTCTGTGGCTTAAGTGGTGAATAGCTTGTTGAGAATCTTTGCTAACTAATTCCAATTTGCAACACATCGGAAGTCTCTCTCATTGTCTTGAAAATGAGAATGTCCCTCGACAACTATAAACTGTTTAAAATGAAAATGAAGTGGGTGTCCCACTTCCATCGTCCTTACTTGTCAATGACACGGTTCCACGTGCACCACAAATCAAGGCCACTCTGCCCCTCTCTTTTCAATACACTTGAAAGGGTAAATCTCTCTTGCTTGCCTCTTGTGCTACTCTCACAGGGGAGAAATGCTATCTGCTGCTTTCTACCTCTAATGTTTTTCCTGAAATTTCATTCAGAAAGATTATACCCTTCCCTACTCTCAACTTTTAGCAATTCTGTCCTTTACCTCTGAAAAGAAAGGAAGAGCACAAGGATCCGCGTTGTTCCTTCCAGTTGTTTCAATTTCAATACAGTTGTTTTACCCTTAACTACTCAGTGTCCATGAAAAATTAGCCTGAAAACTTAGCTTGAGTTGAATAACATACTGTTCAAGTCAGTCAAATCATTTCTTCTGACAAAGCAAGAGTTTCAGTCACTTGACTTGCAGCTCTCCCCTTGGTATTAGTTTAATCTTACATTTTACTTTCTCCAATGAGTGTTCTCTGATCTTTGTCGTTTCTTGTTTTCCTGAGTTGCCGGTTTTCCTTTTCAATTCTGTGTCTTTCTTGCAGACTCTGTTGCCAGAGCTTGTGGGTGTGTGGTATTAAAAATGTCGAGTAAGGCCTGTTATCAACTTCCCTAGATTGTAAAATGAAAGTGTATCAGCAATGATGCTAAGGATATTTTGCGTACCATTGAATGGGTTACCTGTTTGTAATTTTCTACACGTGCCCTCAACAGTGAAGATTCCCCTTTTTGTTCTCAGTATAGGTTATTGATGGCAGGTACAATCTTATCTGTGATCCACCATAACCTTTAGTTGTCCTACACTATGGCTTAAACATGGGTCGCAGTCTGAGAAGATATACAGTTATTGAGGTTTCCACGACAATGATGCATTGGCTGACATGGCTGTGTTGGTTCATCCCAAAGAGCGACATATCTGCACACAAAATATCAGAGGAGGTCAAAAATGTTTTATGTCCAACTTTGCACCACTTTCTCTGAGACCAACGTGAAGGGACTCGTAGTACAGTGAAGCCTCGATTATCCTGAGTCATTTGGTCTGGGGTTGAATGAATAATCGAGTGTCTAGATGATTAAAGAAGTTAATATTAATGAGACAATCATTAATATTTTGTAAACAAAGGAATTAAAGTGAAACGAATATCGTTTAGAATAAGTTCATAAGAAGATATCAACAGTTTCGTCTGCCGCTGATTGTTTCTCCCCCTTAATACTTGGGTTTCTAATGGCATGTTGATTTTTACACTTGTACAACCAAATGGCTTTCACAATTGGCGAATGCCACATTTAACTGCAAGGCCAAAGCTCCAGATAAACTTGCCCTTGTGGTAGTTCGCATGACCCTCGCTGGTGTATCTGCCAATACCAACACTTTGCTGATGCTCACTGTTGGGCTACATTATGCCCTTGTCCTCACAAGAAACGTGCAAATGTGGTTTATACTAATGGAAAGTCACCCTTGGATGTGCCCATGCACACCAATTATCTTGGTTTAACTGCCAATACCAGCACTTTGGTGATGCTCACTGTTAGGCTATAAGTTTTGCCATAATACTCTTGCCCACTAACAAAAATTGCCAAAAAGTTTTAAGATTTGCGGGTTTCATTTGGAGAAACGTACATGAAAACGGTGTTCATTATGTTGTCTACAAGTCTACAAGTTTTGCCAAAATACTCTTACCCTCTAAGAAAAATTGCCAAAAAGTTTTAAGATTTGCGAGTTTCGTGTGGAGAAACTTACTGAAAAACAGTGTTCAGTATATGGAATGAAGGAAGTTCTGTATATAACTGGACTCTGTTTTTGTCATTCTTAAATTCCTATTGATGGAATGGAGGTTTAATGACAGCTGGTTCGGCACAGTGCCACTTTGCAAATGCTACATTCGCATCTTGTTTCCACTGTGTAGCCGGAGGGTGTTCTTCGCCCACTCTCTATGCACTGTACACATTTTCTTTTTCTGCCCTCCCTACGAACTGAAACATGTTGATCCTGAGGGACAGGATGGTTTGGTGGAACCTCATTCAATCTATGGTTTCATTTTCGTTGCGGAAAACCATGGATTAGTTGTTGTGCGAGTTCAAGTGCAAATTTAGTGTTTTGTGCTTTGATCCAACGTGTTCTGATTCAAGAACAAAAGCATTACCAAACAGATACATTAAAAAGAAACGAAACTATGTATGTATACCACTTTTTTTAAGTGCCACCCAGAACAATAAAAGCACAAAGCTAGGCAGCACGATCCACACCGCCCATGTGAGCGGTGTAAACATCTTAAACTCTCAGTTTTCGATATTCACAGTTTGCTTATTATGAATGCAGGGAACCGGTCTGGAGGGCTCGTCAGGAAAAACATTAGTTGAAAGAAAAGCAACATCTCACTTGTTGTACCACTTAGTAACAACAACTTAACCACGTTCAGCTGTAGCCATGTCTCCCCAACCTTAACTTGTTTTTCGCAAGGTGGCAAGTCCTTACGTTTACAACGCACCATTCCACATGCATATTTTGGGCCAAAAATTGATGAAGCCTCAAACTTGTGAAAAATTGTGGAAAAAAAGGGCCTTTAATTGTTTAATAAAATTCAGTCATTTTCATGACAACATCATAGCCAAGACCGTGAATTCCATGGCAGTTTTTTTCTGCTTGGTCGAGGCAAACAGCAAAATTTGAGATGTAACCATTTTTGGCATTGGCAGCCATCCAACCTTTTACACCGTATTTAGTCAGCTTAGCTGGCATGAACTGTCGAAAGGAAAGGTGGCCTTTGTATGCAATCATTCCTTTATCGATTGACATAGGTTTTGAAGGCTCGTAAACGTGCTTTAAATTACTTAAAACCATGTACATAATTTGGTGAACTTTGAACAAGCGATTGTAATCATCATCTCTGCATTGTGGTTCATTCGTTGAATGACTGAAATGCATATATTGCAAGTCCCTTGACCATTTGGGTTCACCAATTTTGGTCGACTTATCACTTTCATTGTCTTCAGGCTGACTTTCGCCGCTTTCCTGCTCCAAAAATTCTTGCACTTCGGTGTCAGATACTGATTGGTTTATGCCTGCTCTTAACAATGAGTAAACCAATGAAAAAGAAAAAGTTTGGGGAAAAATGGGTATCAAGGATGGCCCATTGTTAAGTGGAGGTGGCGCTGGCTCTGCAGTGGTATGGACATGTGGATGGTCATACTCAGGAAAATCAAAGAGCTTGTTGTTTCGTCTTTTTTTGGCTACCTTCTCCTTGTAATTGTCCCAAGTTTGTTTCCTTTTCGACATGTTGCAAACAGAAATGTGGCACCGGCGATTGACTGAAGTGAGGAAAAGCGCACGATGAATGCTTTGTTACGCGCAAGGAATTCTGGTCTATGGCTTTGCTGGGCTAGAGACTTTTTTTTTTCAAAATTTGATCACTGTTTGTAAATTTCCATAAAACAAAAAAATTCTATAACCAAATAAAATAAAAATTACAAAATAAATCAAAATAATAAATAAGAAGAAACATTTAAAGTCTAGATGGGCTTCTATATGTGTTAATAACATAGAGCGCCATTTCTTTGCACATGATCTGGATATTGTGTAAGGCCGCTGACCGATTCATTTGGTTAAAAGCGTTACTAGCATCAATTAGCAATATTCCATCTGTTCCTTCTTCAACAAAAACTTGACTCATTTCATGGATCGCAGCCTCCGCTCCTGCATTATGACCAGCGCAAACTTGTAGGGGACCCGCCGCCTCTTTTATTTCCTCCCTTAAGAAACTGCTGACCGTTTTCCCCACTATTCTCCTTAGTACCTCTCCAACACCAATTGGTCTGATTCCCGGGTTCTTATCAAGCGGGATGAGCCTGCAGGACGTAAAGGCTTCAAGTAAGGATGGGTGGTACAATTTCCTTAACAGATTTCTTGTGAACATGGCTAGCTCTTCTCTCAATATTTTGCCCTCAGTCTTGAAATTCTTAGAGCACAGGATTCTCTTATACAGGTCGAGCAGACCGGACGAGCTCTCGTTATCTAGGAGTTTCATTGCAGCTGTCAATTTTCCTTGCAGAACCAGCTTTGAGAAGGCTTTGGATATGTCTTCAACCTTTCTAGGTTTCTTGGAATTCACAAATTTCCCTTGAAAGAACCTCACTTCTTTAAGCAGCAAGTCAATGTCCCCTTGTTTCCAGAGTGCTAATCGACGCTCTATTGCTTCACTATGCTCCTTGCTTTTGGAAGTAGTAGATGGTTTTTGCAAAATCAAAGTTGGGAGCACCATGAATGCTTTTAGAGCGACCGAGTTCAAGTCAGAGTCTGAATTAAATTGCTTAATCCAGAAGGTTAATTCTTCAATGAAACTCTTCCCTGCGCGACCCGATGGAACATTAAATATATTCCTCCTATAGTGGACGATTTCATCGTAAACATCGTTGACAGTATTACAGAAACATGCGTAACTAATACTGCCCCAAGTTTTGTTCTTTGTTTCGGAGGGAAGCACATCATAATCAGGCAGATTTGGCTTGATTTGATTTTTGGTGTTTTGATCCTTGCAAGTAGCGGTCCGTCCCTGGGGAGCTCTTTGATCAGCAATGTCGGAAGAAATATGCAAATTCGAACCTTCGACCACATTCAGGTTTGATAAATTTTCACCTTCTCATTGGGCGGGTTCGAAACCCTCGGTTTGTGACAACATAGAGGCACCAACCTCTTGTGTTTTGTCTAGGACAGTTGAAGAGTCGTCTCTAACACTTATTTGTGAGTTTTCATCCGTTATCGCTGCTGCGTGGTTGCGAAGATTCTGAGCTGATAACACCAAGTTCACGTATCCCACGTCATCCCATAGATCTTTCAAAATGCGCATATATCCTTTCTTGCGTCCGTTCTGATAACATGGCGGGTTGCTTGAGCTTTTTAAGCTTAAGGCTTTTTCCCTGCATTCTAGGAAATCTTGATTCATCTTGTCAGTCCTGGTTCATCTTCCTGGTTTTCCAGCGAGCGACCGACCTGCAGCCGCCGCCTCCGCCATATTATCATTATCGCTTCTTTTTAATCTGCGCGTGTGCTATTATTATACCCTCTTTATTGCAGGTAACATGTAATGGTGTGTATATGTAAAATCATTTTGCAAGTCATAGTAATAACTTTCCAGTGAAAATTACCCTGAAATGAACCAATCATTTGTCAGGATTCCAGATAAGTAAGCTGACCTCAAAGCTTAACAACATGAACACTCCTCAAGAGAGAAAGAGGCCAACACCAATAATTGGAAGGACCTGCTGAAATTCCATTACCCACCATTTGGCTTGAAAGGTTAAACAAGAGCACTTTGTAAAGACGTACCTGCCTTTGTACATTACTTATTCAGGAGGATAAGCTCACCCATTGTTTTCTTGATGCTTGCTGATGCATCAGTGACAAGCTCAACCAAATGTAAAATGTCCCTCAATCTTCTCAGAATTTTTAGCAGTGCCTCTTTTTCCATATTTGCAGATCTCATATCAACCTGCCTTTTGTCCGTTACCTCCACATCAATAATGTAGCTTGTGGTCATTTCCATGAGATAATAGCAAAGATTTTTTGCTGTGAAGCCTGGTGAATCGCATTGGCCATCACCACGAACCACTAGGTCTTCATTTTGTAGTCCTCTAAATATCTCGCCTTGCTGCCACTTCCACCACTCTGTCACAGCAGGGATTAGGTATATTCTCTGAGCACGGTAGTAGGTGGTTTTGGAGATGAAGGACAGCTCCAGGAAATCAGCAAGTTTGGCAATTTTTTCAAAATTGTTACCAGAGAACAAAATAGAAGCTGAAGCCTGCAAATTGTTGGCCAGTAGAGAGTCATCATCCCCTCTGTGGGACGAACCAAATTTTCCACTATGGCCATCAGCACATTCCCATTTAATTAGGACACTGGTCCCTCACTAGGTAAAATCAACTGTGAATGGCAGCTGACATTGGGCAGCGCGACATTTCTGTGCAAACAACTGCACCAGGAGATCCAAAGCACAGCTCACCTTCATGCTCTGCACAAGCTTCAGCTCTGACTTGTAACTTGGGCGTTCTTCCCAGCGACTGAACTTGTTAAGTTCCCCAGCTGGTTCTTTAACAAAGGGTATATTCATTAACCCAGTGTCAATCTGTTCTCCAGTAATAGTTTTCCTGGTCATCTCTTCCTGGTTAGTTGGGTCAATTTTATCTGCCACATCATCTATTGCTTCCTGAGATGTATCCTCTAGATAGCCAGAGAGCTCAAATTCAGGGTTTTTCTCCACTGTATCATTTTCAGTGTCTGCAGCCTCACTTTAGAAATACAATAACAACAACACATTAAGTTGTGGAAGCCCAAAAAGATGTCTCTGGCAGTGACATATACAGGGCAACACAAAGAGTTCCCTGGAAGGGAGGAGGGAAATTGCCTAGCGAAAAGCAATACATTTAAAGCAGGGTTGTCATAAAGTTTTGAAGTAGGTGGCTGAGTTGTCAAAATAAGCGGCAGCGTCCAGTCATATTTTAATTAAAAAATGCGGTCTGTGAAGAAATGCCAAGCAGAGTAGCTGGCTGATACTAACCAAATAGGCAGCAATTTTCGCCTGAAGCCGCTTACTTTTGACAACCATGTAAAGTACATACAACAGGAGTAGCCTATAGGATTTCGTCCAACAGCAATAATCACTGAAGTGTTTAGAACATCTTCGACTTCACTCCTTGATGATGTCACATAATCTCTATCCTCATCCACTTCTTTCAGTGCATCACTCAGGACTGTAGCTTTGCTATAATATGCAAATATGAAAATTAATACAGTCAACTCTCTCTAAGAGGGACACATTTGGGACCAGCAATAAGTGTCTGGCTTAGAGAGATGTCCCTCTTACAGAGTCAAATATAGGGCACAAAGAAGGTTTCCATCTTATAGAGGTGTCTATTAAGAGAGAGACTCGACTGACGTAAACTAAAATTTACAGCACAGTTTTTAGCAAAGAAGGAAAAAAATTCACTGTGTACAGCAATTCCATAATACTAAACTAAGTGTTATACTAGGACACTGTATTTAGTGCTTGAAGTAGTGAAAATTTCTTGCAGATTCCTGTATCATCTGTAGTAGTGTACAGGACCTTGTATTTATTTTAGAATATTAATTTTATTAAAAACACAGCGACTCTTTTAACTTTCTGGAACATGTTTCAATGTTTCAAACATCATCTTCAGCCATACAAGGTATAATACTAATAGCATATTTAGTCCTAAAGATTCTGTTCGTGATTCTCTCAAATCACGAGTTGTGTACAAGTTTATTTGTGCGGGCTGTGGAGCGCGTTATATAGGTGAAACCTATAAGCATTTTAACACTTGCATTAATGAGCAAGTTTTTTAGGGACAAGAATTCTCACATTTTCAAGCATCTCAGCAGTTCTAAGAATTGTAAAGATAAATGTGGAGTTACCTTGTAACGCATCATTTTAAACTGTGATGATCCAGCATGTTATGAAATTTGCGTTTTTAAGAAACTAGAATGAAAAAAAAAGTTGCTAAAGTGTTTCATCTATAAAGAAGAAAAAAAGGTTTGCCAAATCCCCTCTTTGAAATGGAGCGTTTTTTCTGTGAGAACTATGTGTGGAGCAATCCTTTCAGGCTGGCAGCTTGTCTGGTAGTATTGCAACGACGAGGCCTCTCGCATCACATAATAAATAGACTCGATATAAGCACTAAAATGACTGGACACTACCTTTGCAGCTCATCAATTCTGGGAATATCTCCTAGAGATTGAATTTTTATACGTGTGAGAAACATATGGGTGTATAGTTATTGTAAAAGATATCATTACCAGTCCAGAACTACATAAACTTCGTCAAGTAAGATAGTACAATGAATATTTTATTACACGCACACACAAAAAAGTTACACATCTTAAATGTTGAGTACTCCCTATACATTCCCTGCAGCTATGCTTGCTTTTAATATGTCCTGCTAGTCATCTTATGTCACATTTCTTAGTGTTGCGTTTGTTATCAATCACATCCCTGCACGCCTATTCAGCGATTATTCGAGGGACGGCTCTTATTCGAGGAAATATGGTACCACTTGTACTCGTGACTGATCCTGATACGAGGATTACACCATCTCTGTGACTACGCTCAAATTTGAGCACATTAAATATAGACTCGATGAGCTGCCATTTATTGGAAGAGGGATGATGAAATAGTCTGTATATGCTGCATTAAACCACCTGTAGCACTGCAGGAAGCCATACACCATCAGCCTCAACAGGTCCCATGTCTGACTGGGAAAACAACAATCAATCATCACTTTTGTTTAAATTATAGTTCAATGACAATGAAATCCTTTGCACGCCCGAAACCATAACTATTATCATTTTTTTACTATTACCTGGCCGGCTACCTAATTTGGTATTTTACTACTATTATTATGCAGCAGTTAAAACTTTTGTATGCTATATTCAGTTAAAATAGTGTGACAAGGCGCGTGAGCTTAACCAGTTAACTATCGTGAGAACTGAGCATAAAAATATAAATGTAGCAGTTAAAAATATATATAATAAAAAAAGATAAAATAGCACTATAAATAATGCTCCAAAAAAATGAATAAATAAAATAAAAAATGATAAAACTATTTACGATATGTAGAATCTAAAATGATAATATCAAGTCTGCAAAGTTCTCTTAAATGTATTACTTATTCGGCTGTAAAAAATTCATTACTTCATAACTTTATAAATCCAAAAGATGTTGAAGGAAGAGAGCTAATAATTTTAAAAGTGATGTTCATTGTTCATGTTGCAAATTTAAACGTTCTAGAGATATTTAGTGTTCCCGAGAGTGCAGCCTTCTGCATGTTATAAACAACTCCCTTACTCTTACTTCCGACCAACTCCTTCAGCTTGACTTCTAAGTCTCGGCACCATCCTCCCAACACGTTTATTATGATGTTATATTGTTTCACTTCATATCCGTGGTACTTCTGCTTTATCTCCCAACGAAACGATCTTTATTTCGTGGTTTTCTCCACCTCCTGTTTCTCCCAGTTTGTGATGCATGGGCAGCTCATCTCAAGGGTTATGACTCGCTTTGACTCATGGTTGATAATGCAAGCATAAACTCTATTGGCTCCAACTTCTTGGTGCTCCGCAAATAGAGGGACATCCCAGAACGCTTGCGCATTGTTTGCCTCGAACAGTGGGTTTGGTTTCAGTGGCAATTACCAACGTGGCACTGAGTCTACAAGGCCCAGGTCTTGCAAAATCTCAAAATACAATAATACAATACACGTAATAACCCAATAGTTATCTAACCTAGGGCCTTCACAACAGTACAAAATACACATAAAAACAATGCCCAATCAGTAATATACGACTACAACAAGAGAAAAAATAGAACGAGACAAATGTGTGGTTTAACATAGATATAAGATGATATAAACTAATTACCTTCTAATACAGTTACAATAAAGAGAAAAACGACTTCAGTATCTTCAGTTCAGTTATGTCAGGTAACGTACTCGTTCTGTGCAAGGGCAGTACAACCAGCCAGGACATGGGCAACACTTTCAGGGGCCTTATTACATAGCCTGCACGTTACCTCACCCATTATATCCATGTGTGTTTTCTGGCAGGCATACAACCTCTTAGGTAATAACTGTTCGTAGAGCTCAAACATCCCCACCACTGTATGTGTTGGGCATTGTTTTCAACCGCTTAGCCACCAGAAACAGCTATAGAAGTTAATGTTCCCCTGCTAGTTCTATCCCTTCACCGCTCCCATGTCTTCTGTTGCAAACACCTTCTCAGCTCTGCCTTCAGTTTCTCTCCTGTTATTACCTCTACACTATCATGCTTTGTGCAGGTTGGGTTTGGGTACTCCAGCTGCAACTGGAGGCCCATCTCCTCTGCATATTTTGCTGCCTGTTTAACTAATGAGCTATGACCCAACTCTTCTGCTCTCTCTTTATCCTGAAACCTGAATGGCTCAGATGTCTTGCGCCCTTGCTTTGTAGTCGCCACCACCCTTGTAACCCTTTCACCCCTGATATCCACAAACAAATTCTGCAGGAGTAAATTTGAACCCAGTGCTCTGGCGTTAAATGGGGTTGCTGTTGTTAAGGAAGGGTAGCCAGAGTTAGATAGGTCGCGTGTTCACCTTCTACGTGTGTCAAAAGGAAATGGGTGATGATGAATAACTGCTAGCGAATATGCAGTTGCATTAGCTTTATAAAAACTAACCCATGCCATCTCTAATAATAAGTGTAATTATAATTATTTGTGAAGCGCGTCAGTAGTAGTGAGTGAATGAAATGGTAGGACATGGTTCACATGGGCCCTTGAAAAGTCCTTTGAAAAGCATCATGTCCTTGAAAAGTCCTTGAAGATTGGAAATTTGTGGTATATCCTTGAAAAACGCGTGAAATGTTCCCCAGAAGTCCTTGAATATTTTTGAAAGCTCCTTGAATAAAAATAGCCTTCATTAAAAAGTTGTTTTGCACAAAGGAATGGTTGAAAGTACAGCAATATGTAAATTTTGTTAGAGATCATGAAAGTGTGTTTTCTTATAATTTTGGTGTTCCCGGCCTTTTCCGTTATTTGAAATACCCTACACAGGCTCTTCTTCGTCATCACGTCAGAAGCTGTTTTCACATCGTTTGGATTTATTTAATTTTTCTATTCTTTGATGTGCAGTTTCCTCCTAGGGCCTTGAAAATGAGCTTAAAAGTCTTCTGCCTGTCTGTGATAGTTTCTATTTCCTGTGAAACCTTTTCCCGAGTCTCTCTAATGCTAACGATGTGCTCCATATTGAGATCCCATTGTGGAATTTCTTGCCATTTTTCAGAATGATACCATTGGTCTGGAAGAGTGTGGAGTCATGATCCTCAAGATTTTTTCTAAAGAACATCCAGATTCTCAAGGGCCTCTTTATGTTTTGTGAAAATATAGTTCAGGCTTTGTCCATCTCCCGGCTTTAGCTGGTATTCTTGTGTTAAAAAGCAGCCTATTTTGCCAGAAAAGACTTAGTAAAAACTCAAAATGCCTGGCTTGTTGAGCCGCAAATCGTCTTTTGAAGGATTCATACTTTCTCCATCCTTTTGCATCTTTGAGTGCGCCTTCCTCATGATGGGCATGCAGTTTATTGCTCATTTTCCTTTTGGGTGAGCAGTGAAACCAGGGTTTGTCTGGAGGCAATTGAATTTCTGGATCATAAGCTGCACTGTTGAAGAACTTGTTACCTACAAGAAAGTGATCATGATAGTGTAAATGATGACTGCGAGGTCGATGCCATTAACCCTAAGGGAAAAGAAGAATGAAATGATGTCATTCTTGTATTCATTGCTGCAGGCGAGGATGACACAGATGCAACTCGCTCAGGACGAGCAATAACTGAGAGATGATTTTCATTCTTTTGACATGAAATCAGATTTGCAAAGGTTTCATATCAAAATCATCTGCATGTACTAACATTTATTACGCAAATAAATACCATCTCTTGAATTCCATCAAATATTGCAAGACTCATCACTGAATATAATTCAATGATCCAGTGATACCTTAGCCCTTTGGTCTTAAAGCACTATGTCATATCGGCTTGGCGGAGCCCTGGATTTGTGGATGCCTGGTT